CAGTGTTAGATGTGCATTCTTGGTTAGGTCACACGCGGCAGTGTTAGATGTGCATTCAGGCATCCATGTTCCTGCTGGTTTTTTCTGCCAATTAATGTTTACTGTTCTGTCAGGGGGAGCCCATGAGATGTGGTGCAAGGGAATATGGTTATGGCTCCAGTTTCCACTGAGGAATGGGTGACAGGCATGTGTGACACACACACACACACACACACACAGTCCACACATGCATATTTTTATGAGGACTCTCCATTCATTTCTATGTGCATAACCCGAATCCCAACCAGCCCTAACCTTAACCATAAGAAACTTTGTGGAGACCAAAAACCTCACATGGTAAAAAGTTACAGATTTTTAACACATTTTGGGGAAAGCTGGTCCCCACAAACACACACACACACTGTCCTTACAAAGAATGTCCAGAGAAGATAAGAACACATGAGGTTTGCATTTTTCTGTTGTACATTTATTTAAATGGATATTAAAGGTCAAGAGTCACCTGACTTTGTGCCAGCATACCTGTAAACACATGCAAAACGTCGTAATGAGACGCCCCGGCTAAAGTCTAACGTGGCAGTTTGCCGGCTTATCTATTGACCTGTGCTTGTTCATTGTGTTCCTGTTTGTTGTTTTCTCTGGAATGCGTCTGTCTGCAGGCTGTTCCACGCTATTTTCTCACCGCTCACTGTTTTGCGTTATTGATTGCGGGCATTTATTCTTATTTTCGGAGAAGCGGGGGTGGGGGAGTGTTAGGGTGCTCCCTTTGGCCTGGAACGTTCTGTGTTCAAGGGTTGGTCTGTATATCGATTTAAAGCAAAAACACTTTTTGGGACCTGAGTTGCTCTCACAATGTTATATAAGAAGTAGCCCAGCTGGTTTGGCACTTTCGGTACTGGAACTTTAGGTACTGGTACTCGAATGGAAGTCAATGGAAAAGCGGAAGTACCGTAAGTACCGTAAGTACCGTACTTTGCGCGGTGGAAAAGCGCCCTAAGAGAAATGTACATGCTTTGGATAACATGTGTGCTATGTCGATCCATTGATCAACAGTATCCTGTATGGGGCTATGCTGTGTCTAGAGCTCCTTCCAGGAATCGGAGGGGACACCCTGGACAGGATGCCAGTCCATTGTGGGGCACACGTTCACACTGTGGACCTGTTGGACATGCTGGTTGACCCAGTCCTAATGTTTTCTTTTGCTGCGGGAGGAAACCAGCACAAACACAAGGAGAACATGCAAACTCCTTGTGTAGAAGCAGGAGCATATGCAAACTCCATGGATAGAACCAGAGGAACATGCAAACTCCATGTGTAGAACCAGGAGAACGTGCAAATTCCACAGATAGAACCAGAAGAACATGCAAACTGCAAAGAACCAGGAGAACATGCAAATTCCATGCATAGAACCAGCAGAACATGCAAACTCCATGCATAGAACCAGGTGAACATGCAAACTCCATGGATAGAACCAAGGTTAGAAGCGACCCCCCCACCCCTGGAGGTGTAACGCAGGTAGTGCCACCCCCCCAAGCCACAACTACGTTTTTGCTGAGCACGGTTTCAATGCCCAGCTGCCATGATGTCAGTTCACCCCGGCACATCATCCAGTTCCGGTGACGCTGAAGCCGATGCAAATCAGTGAGCAGGTCAGTGGTGGGATTGAGATGGACTGATGGGGTGCAACCAGACCCCTGGTGTCAGGTAGCCTCTTTGAGGCCAGCGGGATTAGCGAAAGCTGCCAGCCTTCCTCACTCATCAATCATTCAGCGGCGCCACGGCAGCGGAGCAGGACTTATGCATGGGACTCCACAACACCGGCCCAGACACCAGGATGCTGGAATGTAAGGACACTGGAAGACTGGAAGCACTAGGATGCCACAGCAGAGGGATGACAGGATACTGGGACATGGAGGCATTGCATGATTAGGGCACCGAGACCTCACAGTACTGGGACGATGTTAGAGACAGCAGAGTTGAACTGGACCACTTTCCTTTGGTGGATGCTAATGTTCATGGTCACTGGTCGGATCCTGGGAACCCTGGAGGGAGAGGACGGTATATCCTCGTGTGAGGCAGGTATGGCTATCTCCAACCATTTGCATGGTCTCCAAAAGGCATTGATGCCCAGTGCTACCGTCCAGCAGGGTCTCCATCGACGGGTATCACAGTGGTAACTTTCCCTGGTAACCTAATCCTCTGAGCCCTGAGGACCTTGTTCTGAATTCTGAGACCCGTGTTCTCCCTTTCCAGGGTACTACTGTCCGAGGGGCAGCCTGGTTCCGGTGCCATGTCCGAGTGGCACTTTCGGACCACTTGCAGGAGCCCGGTCATCGGAGAGCTGCATTAGTTGCCCTCCCCATCATTACGGCCCCCGACCTGGTCTGACCGCTTGTCGCCCCTGTGGACCCAGGGCTCACCAGGATCAACCCGGACAGAACCACTGCGTGTGCCAGGGGGAGGGCCAAAGGTTTCAGGTAAAACATACTGAGTTCTCACACTTTGGTCGGGGGGAGAGCAGAAGATGTAGTAAGCAGCAAATAGACGGGCTGAGGCTTCTTGCAGTGCTCAAAGGGGGAGTGTAGGGTGACACGGTAGGTGCAGGAAGTGGTCCAGCTTTGCAAGCCTTTCAGTGCTGGTGATCAAGTCATTGCTGGGTTTCAGGTTTCCAGCTCCCCTGTCTGTGCATTTGGTGAGGCTGGCCAAAAACTCACTTCAGTTTGTTTTTATATAGCACCATTCACAACGCAGCATCCAAAGACACTTGAGAAGAGTATGTGGCAGTCCATGTATGCTAAATGGCTTATTTATAGGAAAGGAGGGAAAAGGGAAAGAATGCCAGAAGACAATGGAGGAGAGGAATCAAAAACTGCCAAATAAGGGAAAAAAAAAACTTCTGGGGGTCCAAGAATGACTGACTGCCCAACCCCCTGTCCATATAGACAATAAGAAAAATGAGCCTACTTCAATAAAAGTAGGGTGTAGACTGCCCATGGCCAGAGTCCATCAGTGGGCCAGATCTCCATGCAGGTCTATATAAGCCAGCAGACTGCAGGCTGCATCCACAGTGTCACGCTTTCATGGGACTGAACCAGCACTTCAGCTCAGTGTGGACAGTTGGGGAGTAAAATAACTGACGGTGGTAGACAGAACAGACTTTGACACAGTGATGGACAATTGCAGTGACCATAAGGACATGTACAGCAGCACCAGCTGCCATAGTTCCAGTGGGTTATGTTATGCAGGTAAGCAAGACTAAAGATCTTCAGTTGAGATTTAATAACTCAGAATCCTGTACAGGAACTGCCAGACTATTGCACACTATAGAGGCCCTATAGCTAAAAACTGTAGCATCAGCTGTTATTTCATTCATTCATTTGGGATGAGAAAGAGACCTGTGTTTTGTGATCAGAGTGTGTGAAAATTGTGCCTGACTTACCCAACCATCTGGGTGCACTGTCCCAGCCCAGCGATGGGCGCTGTGTCTGTGCCCTGGGGTACACGCCCCGGGGAGACGAGGACGTCTGCGTGCACTCTGTGTACGAGATCTGCAGGGGCAGCCAGACCCGGGGTCAACATGGACACTGCCTGAGCTCAGAGGAGTGGAGGCAGCACTGCAGCCTGCAGGTCAGCGGCCAAAATGTGGTTTAACATGCAGCACATGCAGACATGCTAAGACACACACGCAGACACACACTCACACACTAACACAGACACGCACACACACACACACATGCAGACACACACACGCACGCACACACACGCAGACACACACTCACACACTAACACAGACACGCACACACACACACATGCAGACACACACACGCACGCACACACACGCAAACACACACACACACACTAACACAGACACGCACACACACACACATGCAGACACACACACGCACGCACACACACGCAAACACACACACACACAC